CTACCTGCTCCGGAGTTCGAGTAGCAGGAGTCTGGGCCCCTCCTCCAGCCTGAGAGACGGTTGGTGCTACCGGAAGAAAGCCTGCCTGGGTGACACTCTCCATGAGGCCCACTAATCGGACCAGAGCATCCTGAAGAACTCGGGTAGCAATAACCCCTCTGGGACCTGAGCTAGGCCCACCAGAATTGCTGGAGTTGGAACCTCCTCATCAAAATCAACTTGAGGCTCTGTCACTGGGGCTGCTACTCGGGGTTGAGATCTGAATCTACCTCGGCCTCTAGCACGGCCATGGACTCGCCCTCTGCCCCTTGTAGGAACTACTGCTAGGGGCTCAGGCTGCTGACGAAGGAAGAGGAAGCATGTGTTCTCGCCATCTGCTAAAGAACAGAGTAGAAGTTCAATTAGCATTGACAAACAAAACCGCATGACATAAAAGAATGAATGTGAAGTTTTTCCTAACTCTGTAGACTCTTAGGGATAAATACAGACGTCTCCGTACCGATTCCTCAGACACTACTAAGCTTGTCTGTGAACTGTAAGATCTATGTAACCTATAGCTCTGATACCAACTTGTCACGACCCGGATTTCCCACCCTCGGGAGTCGTGATGACGCCTACTAATGGGAGCTAGGCAAGCCAAACCTTAACTACTTGCTACACTTTCATTTTTGCTTCTTTTTAACAAACACCAGTCAATAATATGATAAAAGCGGAATTTTAAATAAATAAGCGGAAGTCAACAATTATATATCTTAAGGCTACATCTATTACAACTTTTATAACCTCAAATACCCCAAAACCTGGTGTCACAGTGTCATAGACTGTCTAAGAGTTACTACATACAAGGTCTAAAGAAATACAATACATTGTTTCTGAACAAAAGGAAATGAAACAGGAAATAGAGATAGAGGGAGACGCCAGGGCCTGCGGACGCCTGCAGGTCTACCTTGGGTCTCCGAGTGGATTGAAGGAAGCCCTCCAACTACTGTCCGAAAGCTGCTCCTGGATCTGCACACAGTGCAGAGTGTAGTATCAACACAACCGACCCCATATGTTGGTAAGTGTCTAGCCTAACCTCGGCGAAGTAGTGACGAGGCTAGGACCAGACTACCAAATAAACTTGTACAGTTCATATATATATATATACAACAGAAAAGAAATACAGAAATAACCAGTCAATGTGGGAGGGGGAAACATGATATGGGGGAAATATTAGTTCCGAATAGAAAGGCATCAAGTAAGGAAAGAAACAACATAACTAGAATATCAATAAGGAAGCAGGAATCAACAATTGCATGGTATCACACTTCGTGCTTTTACTCTCAGCCTCACCAAAGCAGTTATATAATAAAAATGTGCACGACATCACCGTTCGTGCTTTTACTCTCGTCCTCACCAAAACAATCATATAATCAAAATGTGCATGGCATCACCCTTCATGTTTTTACTCTCGTCCTCACCAAAACAATCATATAATCAAAATGCGCACGGCATCACCCTTCGTGCTTTTACTCTCTTTCCTCACCATATAATCAATAGATTCGGCACGGAATGGTACGTCGTACAGCACGACATCACCCTTCGTGCTTTATACTCTTTCCTCACAATAACAAACAATGCACGGCATCACCCTTCGTGCTTTAACACTCTTCCTCACCCAAACAACAATCACAAGCAAAGGGGCAAGGGAATAAACAAAATAGTAATAGAAACCCCGGCAAGGGAACACTAGTTAAACAATTAATCCCGGCAAGGGGACAACAATTAAACAATTAAATCCCGGCAAGGGAACAACAAATAAATCAACAATAGCCCGGCAAGGGTGACAACATAATGATTCCTTCTCTTTCTTAATTTTACTTCACAATTCACTTCACAACTCGAGCCAATGCTCTAGAGGTTCAATTATCACTTATACTTTCACAATTCATTTCACAACTCGAGCCAATGCTCTAAAAGTTCAATTGTCACTTATACTTTCCCAATTCATTTCACAACTCGAGCCAATGCTCTAAAAGTTCAATTGTCACTTATACTTTCACAATTTCGCTATACAACTTGAGCCAATATTCATAGGTCACAATTCTTTCTACAAACTTTATACAACAATTAGAAAATTTCACCAAGGCATGACTAATACAACGAAATCATGAAAATCACAAAATAAAACTCACGGTCATGCTTGACACCAACGTATAGATACTCGTCACCATGCCTATGCGTCGTACAACAAGAAGCAAATAGCAAATAGGACACAATTCTTAATCCCTCAAACTAAGGTTAGACCAAACACTTATCTCGATGCCTCGAACACAACTCAAGTTTCAATTATAGCTTTACCCCTTGATTCCACCGCTAATTCGCTCATATCTAGTCACAAATTACTTAATTACATCAACAAACGCTAAATGAATCAATTTCGAATGTATGAAAATGAGTTTTCCATAGTTTTACCCAAAAAATCAAAATCGCCCTCGGGCCCACGTGGTCAAAACCCGAGGTTCGAACCAAAACCCGATTACCCATTCCTCCACGAGGTCAAATATGTAATTTGTTTTGAAATCGGACCTCAAATCGAGATCCAAATTCCCAATTTTTGAAAAACCTAGGTTCTACCCAAAACACCCAATTTTCCCCATGAAAATAATTGATTTGAAGTTGAAATCATGTTAAAAGATGTTAATGATTGAAGAAAACTAGTTAAAAACGACTTACAATTGATTTGGAGAAGAAAGGTTATTTGAAAAACCGCCTCTTATGTTTTTGGGATTTTTGAAAAGTGCAAAATAACTGAAAATCTCGTCTATTTATACCCATCTCAGACCCTCTCCGCGGGAAAAAGGACTGCGACCGCGGAGTTCCACCGCTGACCGCAAGAAATCGAGCGGGGCCGCCAAGGCTTGGCCTTGCTCACCGTAGACCGCACAAATCCCACCGCGGTCGCGGAGTCCCCACCGCGGCCACGAAGCTTCCACCGCGAGACCTAGCTTCAGAGACCTGTAACTTCTCTGAATCTACAACTTTTTCCTAAGTGTAAAAACATCCCGAAACTCACCCGAACCCTCGGGGCTCCAAACCAAGTGTCATACTAACTCAAAAACATCATATGGACTTACTCGTGTAATTAAATCATCAAAATAACCTCATGAACATCAAATTAAATCTCGAGATCAATGAAATTTTCTCAAAACTTCTTTAAACATAAATTTTGCAATTTAAGTCCGAATCACGTCATGTGACATCCGTTTTTCACCAAATTCCACAGAAATATCTTAAATCATATATAAGACCTGTACCGGGTGCCGGAACCAAAATACGGGCCCGATACCATCATGTTCTAATCAAATTTCATTTCAAATTTCTTTAAACAATTCTAGAAAATAATTTCCTTTAAAAATTTATTTCTCGGGCTTGGGACCTCGGAATTCGATTCCGTGCATGCGCCCAAGTCCCATATTTTCCTACGGTCCCGGAGGTCCGATTCCGTTTACCCAAAACGTTGACCGAAGTCAAATTAGCTCATTTTATAATCAAAACTTATCATTTTTCACAGATTATCATATTTAAGCTTTCCGGCTACGCGCCCGGACTGCGCACACAAATTGAGGTAACTCTAAATGAGGTTTTCAAGGCCTCAGAACATGGAAGTTTCGTTTTTAAAACAAGTGATGATCATCACAGAAATATAAATCCATTAAATGGTTTAATCAAATGCAGCTTCCAATTGTTTCGATATCAAGACATAAGAAAAGCACCAGGCATGAAAAACGATGCCAAAACACAAACCCAAAGATAAATTGTTCAAAAAAATTGTAAATGTTTTGAGTACCGTATACCACAGTACTATTTAAACTCCGATCCGAGGAATGAGCAGCTTGAACAGTTGATATTTTCCTCCTCCGGCCATTGCCTAAAAGAAGTGAATCAAATTGGGATAGCGGATTTTGTCATCTTCTTCATCATCAGAAGCCAGCCTCGTCTCGTCTATAGGACGTAGACGTTCCAGGTTCAAGCTCTCCAGCCTTCGGCACAAAAACGGATGCTCCTCACTATAATAAGTTGAATTAGCTTCCAGAGAAAGCTCAAGATTAGATACTGGATAAATACTAGCCTGCTCATTTGGTCCATTTCTTGGTGGTGGCGCCGCCTTTTCACGGCTGGTTCCAGCAACATCACCCGCCCTCCGTCGGATAGACAGTGGAGACGACAAAGGAAAACGGTTTTGCACCATTGGTTGTTGCAGCTGCTGAAGGATTGGTAGTGGGATCAGCCCTCCATTTGCAGCTGCAGCAGCAGGCCTAATAACATATGGGACGCAAAATAATTAGCAGAACTGCAAAAATAATACTCTACTCTACCCAGAAAATTACGTACATTCAGATCATATACTCCCTCCGCTCTAATTCATGTGATAGTTTTTCCTTTTTAGTCTGTCCTAGAAAGAATGTCACATTTTTATGTTAGAAACAATTTAACTTCAAAATTTTCATATTACTGTTAATGAGATGATTTATGGCCGCACAAATATCTAAGACTTATTTTAGACTACAAATTTGAAAAGTCTTTATTTCTTTCTTAACTTTAGTGTCACGTCAAATGGTGCTACATAAATTAGGACGGAGGAAGTATTACTACTATAAATTTCAAAATTATCAGATTTTAAAGTGTTACTCCTCATGAATTCGTTATAAATAAGTAGCACAGTTTTTCTGTCACTCATGTATTTTATTAGTATGAATAATTACTGGATTATTCATGAACACTAGCTAGTAATTTTGTGAAAATAACAGGTTTATTCAAAGAGAGAATGTTAATTTTGTCAAATCCTGTTCAATGCACGGGTTAGAAACGTAACTTAAATTCATATTATGCGAAAAGTTTTACTCTAAAAAAGCATTTAGTGATACACTACAATACTAAATCAAGTAAAGAAAGAGAAAAAAGAAGCATTAATTCCTTTTGTTGAAAGTATAATGAAATAAATAATCATACCCATTTCCATTTCCAGAGTAGGTATTATTCCTGTTGATAACAATAGTTGTAGGAGCATTGACAATGACATTCATAACAGTCTGCTGATACTAGAGATGTATGGGCGTTAAGGGAGTAGAACTACAAGTTCTTGTACAGCCTTGAGATGAACTTGGGCAGTGTTCTGCACACCCCATCAACACGAATACCCTTGGTGGGAAGCTCGTAATAGTAGCCCGATTTTCACTAACAACAAAGCAATTGTTAAATGCATTTATACTATCAGTGTACGTAATTTCATTAATAGAAATATAAGTCATTTATCAAGAGGTTATGAGTTTGAGCCGTGGAAACAGCCTACTGCAAAAATGTAGGATAAGGTTGCGTACAATAGACCTTTGTGATCCGACATTTCTCCGAACCTCACACATAACGAGAGCTTAGTGCAGCGAGCTGCCTTTTAAAGAAGTCATTTATCATGTTTTGCAGGTTGCTAATTTATTCTTAAAAACTTATGTGTATAAAATTAAAGGAGACTTGATTTACACTACCAATTTATAAAAGTTAAGTAATCCCTGGTTAAATTTACACATTTCTAGTCCTCAAAACACCGAGATATATAAATTAATATGGGAAAATAAGAATAAGGTAGATTGAGCTTTCACTAATTTGTTTCAATCAGACTTTTAACTTTTGTTTCATAAGTTATGCGTATTGCTGGTAATATGGCTAGATATGGATATCACAACACTAACCAGGGGCGGAGGGAACATACGGGTTCGGTCGAGCCCAATAGCTTTGGTTCAAACCATGTATTTGTCTTAAGAAATTCATTGAACATGTATAAATTATTGATTTATAATTAGAAACCAGTAATTTAAAAGATTTAGAATCTCGAACCAATAAGTTTCAAATCCTTCCTCCGTCTCTTGATATTATAAACACGTAAGTTGGATGTTTGCAAGTATATACGATTACTCTAAATGGAATATTTGGGAAAGCATAGAAGAGTTAAATTGTTTAATTACAATGCTGTTTGAGAAAAAAAGAAGATTATTGCTCGTAAGACACATAAGCACATATAAGAAATGATTTTGAGTTTACCTTATATCCCTAGCAACTTGAGTTTCCACTTCCACAGGTGGACAAAAGCGTAACTCCACTGCCTGTTCGCCAGGCAACTATATTCCAAAGCAAGGAGGAAATTGATTTAAAAAATTGTATTATAGATCGATGCTTATGAGTTCGTAAATGGACAAGTTTCTTTTTAACTGTAAAAATTGTTGGTAATAAACATCCTGCAAAAATAATATTCATGATAATAAAAGCGGAATAAGAACGTAGCACCGAGATATGGTAATTAACAAGAATAAAGGAGTAACAACGACACCAAGATTTTTACGTGGAAAACCCTTTTGAATAAGGGATAAAACCACGACCCTGAGAAGAGCAATTGATATCACTATAGAAAGGAATTTTACACTTTGTAGGTCTGAGTAAAATATTCAAAAGGCCACTACAACACTCAAAAGAAATAACCCTCTTTTGAAATTCTCACCTTACTACAATATCACTCACTCTCTATTTTTCTCACAGACTATTTTCTTATACCCTGCCTGTGAAACCTCACTCTTTCTTTCTAACTCTCAGATATATTTTTCCTCTGAGATTGGTGTATAAAATGAGAGCGGAAGCTCTCCTTTCATAGGCAGAACCTCGCCTACTACGCTTGACATTTTTCATCTGCACGCCTACCATATTTGACAAATGTAGAAAGAAATGTGGGCTGCTGCTAATCAAGGAAGGAAGATTTCTTCCTTGATTTATAGGATGGACCCCATAAACCTCCCCCTCCAGTCCCATTAACCTGAAGGATGTAACACCGGAGGTTCTAGTTTGAGTGTATGCCGACAAGTTCTTTACATAGCTCAAACTTGTCTCTTGGTACCACTTTGGTCAGCATATCCGAAGGATTCTCGCTTGTATGGATCTTCCTTACCTGCATAGACCCATTCTCTATCCTTTCTCGAATCCAATGATATCTCAAGTCGATATGCTTCGTCCTTGCATGATATATGGTGTTTTTGCTCAGGTCTATTGCATTTTGACTGTCACAATAGACGACATACTCCTTCTGATGCAATCCAAGCTCTTGAAGGAACCGTTTGAGTCATATCATCTCCTTGCCAGTTTCTTTAGCGGCAATGTACTCTACTTCAGTTGTTGAAAGTGCAACACACTTCTGCAACTTAGACTGCCATAATATAGCTCCCCCTGAAAATGTAAACAAATATCTAGTAGTGGATTTTCTGTTGTCAATGTCACCTTCCATATCAGCATCTATATAGCTCTTCAATATTGGATCAGATCCTCCAAAGCACAAACTATCTCCCGTGGTACCTTTCAGGTACCTAAGTATCCACTTGACTGCTTCCCAATGTTCCTTTCCAGGATTTTCAAGAAACCTGCTGACAACACCAACTGCGTGAGCAATATCAGGTCTAGTACATATCATTGCATACATCAAGTTTCCGACTGCTGAAGAATAAGGAACTCTAGCCATGTTCCTTTTCTCCTCCTCTGTTGTAGGACACATCTTTTTGCTCAACTTTAGATGACTAGCAAGAGGTGTGTTGACTGGCTTAGCATTCTTCATGTTGCAGCTTTCTAGTATACGTTCAATGTACTTCTCATAAGATAGTCACAACTTTTTACTTGTTCTCTCTCGAATTATCTTCATCCCTAGAATTTGTTGTGCTGGGCCCAAGTCCTTCATATCAAATGACTTGGACAAATCTCTCTTCAACTTTGCGATCAGCCCCTTGTCTTTTCCTACAATTAACGTGTCATCCACATACAACAACAATATAATAAAGTTATTCTCAGAAAATCTTTTGAAGTATACACATGGATCAGAATAGGTCTTTAGGTATGTTTGATTTTTCATGAATGAGTCAAACTTCATGTACCACTGCCTTGGTGCCTGCTTCAATCCATAAAGACTCTTATTCAATTTGCACACCATGTGTTTCTTTCCAGCTACTTCAAATCCTTCTGGCTGCTCCATATAAATCTCCTCTTCCAAATCTCCATGAAGAAATGCAGTTTTCACATCTAACTGCTCCACTTCAAGATCTAGGCTAGCTGCTAAGCTCAAAATTGTTCGAATAGAAGTCATTTTGACAACAGGTGAGAAAATTTCGTCAAAATCAATACCTTTCTTTTGTTCGAAGCCTTTAACCACCAATCGAGCTTTGTATCTGACCAGCTTGCCATTTCCATCTTTCTTGAGTTTAAAGACCCATTTGCATTTGAGTGGTCTTTTACCCTTTGGAAGTTCAACCAGCTTGTATGTGCCATTTTTCTGTAGAGATTCCATCTCTTCTTGCATAGCTTTCATCCACTGGTTCTTTTCTGGATGGGACAACACCTCCTTAAGACTTTCTGGCTCCCCCTCATCACTGATAAGGACATACTCTGTGGAAGGGTACCTGCATGACTCTACCCTTGGCCTCTCTGATATCCTCAGAGGTTGAGGTTGTTCTTCTTCCTGAGTGGGGCGCTCCACTTCCTCGATACCTTCATTAAGTTGCTCCCCCTGCTCAATAACCTCACCAGGTTGCTCCCCCTGCTCGGCAACCTCGTCGGTCGTACTTTCTGCACTTGTGGGATTGTTAGAAGTAGAAGGAATAGTAACAAAGTTAGGAATTATACCATTCTTCGCCTTTTCT